GTCATCAATACTAGTTCGTATATAGGCGGACACAAGAGAACAGATACACATACACAGACAGACACACTCATATGCTTCGAGGTTGACATATGACTGGAACTAGCCAAATCACTTTATATCTCATCCAAATGCTTAGAAATAGAATATATATATATATATATATATTAATATAACATTTTTTGGGATTAGCAGGCGAGTTTTCTTGACTCGTTAGCTTGAATATGGTTGTAGGAATGATAGCATCAACTTTGATGATGTCTGTCATAAGACGAGCAAAAGCTTAACACTTTATTAATAGACTCAAAGGCGACAGTATCAACAAGAATGTTTCAGTAAAGCCAATCGACAGCTGATCAAGAACAATCCGCCGTCGTCTTCTGGTGGGATCAAACTTCGAATCTCTTCGCCAAAAACATTAACTCTAAATAAAGATACGCTTGTCATTGCCTTATAATACTCCTCCTACGACAAATCGAACCCAGCTAGTGCAAAACAGCATTTTAACAGCTTATCGCTGCGCCAGACCATCACAAGTGCTAGTTGATCACAGATCAAAAATGAATTTTAGGGTAAACTAGCCTCTTTTATATCTGCTTTTTGAAAAGCGTTTAGTCGTTTAAGCAAACATTTATTTGCCAGTACAGTCGAAAAGTTTATTTGCATGTGAATGAATTAGGATTAGGAGACTGTCAGTAGTCTTTGAGCAAGAACTCTCATATCATACTTAATATGAATATAAGTAAGGACTATCGTGAAGGATACAAATAGTTCAACAAAAGTGCGTCAATGCAAGAGAGACGAAACAATGAAATTCACTTCCACCCTGTCACTGAATGGAAATCGTGACAGTGTGGCGTAGTGGAGACATCTCAAAATGATGCCCTGATCTGCTCAACTTCGAGTTCCATTGGGGTGCTAATGAGACCCACCGTCGCATGTCCGAAACGAAGAGTGTATGCCGACACAAGAGAAACTGATGAGCGGATAGTTGAGGCAAGAATTGTATTTTAGGCCATTTGCAGTTGTATGAGGAGCATAATAAAAAAAGTGTTAAAAACGAGAGCAATTTAGCCAAATATATTTGGTGATACCATACATAAAGGTCGACTGATACAAACTTGAGACCAGTTGAACTAAACTTATCTGTCCAATTCGACTAAGAAAATGTTTCAAATAAAGGCCAACTGACAAAGACCAATATGGGATAAAGACTATGTTTAGCCGATTTCGTTTAAGGTTATGAAGAAATGGTAGTTAAATTTTCCCACAATGATATTATATATATGACATTTCCACTGAATTTAACATAGCCTTGCCTTAACAAAAGTTATTCTCATCCAGAGTGGACTGCACCTTCGACCTCGCCTGGGTCTTATCAACACACGCAGCAGGATTCATTTCATTGTGGGAAACTTAAACTATCAGTCTCCGTAAAACACTAAAAGAAATAGAATGAATACATCGCATAAATATGATCTACTGGTAGTCTCGAGAGTCTACTTATAAACTAAAAATAAGTATCCAAGTCGATTGCTATAGCAAATACAATTTTGCTTCATCGACAATCCAACCTCAAAAGGTGATATGGGAAAAGACCTGGCCTTCCTTGAAATTCACATCTCTTCTGTGATCCAAGGGCATTCTTTGTAATGGGGCGTACTGATTAATGTAACGAAATGACATGCTGAACTGTCATAGTTTGAGTCCTGCTGGGGATATGATAAAACCTTGATGGAGTGGAAACTGCAGTCCACATTGGAGAAGAATATCTTTTGGGAAAGCAAGGCTATGTGACATTTATTGGAAACGTCTTGTCTACTCATATCATTGTGGGGAACTTCAACTACCAGTTGCCATATGAACCTAAACGAGATAGGATAAATACATTTTCTATATTGAATGCTGTGCTTTGTAAATTCACTCATGTAATGAGGGTACTTTGAAGTTAAGTCAACTGATGAAAGTCATCGTGCCTGTCAATGATGTTTATTGTGACCATTCTGTCCGAGATCTGGACTGCAGATTCGAGCCCGATTGAAATGGCCTCATCAGCATCTGCAACGGCACTCAAACCCGGGTTGTGGTAGTGCAGGGTACAATCTTTACACGTTAACCACTACGTCAAGCAGCCACAAGTGCACTTTGGTCATTGGGCAAATATTATTTTGAAGGAAGGCCAGACATGGTTCCATATCAGATTCTGTGGCGGGATAGTCGATGAAGCAATGTTGTAATTGCTTTATCAATAAATTAAAATACTTGTTCCTAGCTTATAAGTAAGGTTTTCGTAACTAGCCTTAACAAAATAAAGTGAATACATCTCATGTATCCGATCCAATAATAGTATCGAAACCAGCTTATAAACAAATAATAAGTTATTCTCTCCATTTCTATATCATGTCGACAATCCAACCACTCAAAGTGATATGACAAAATGCCTGACCTTCTTAAAATTTATATTCACTCTATCACTTAAGCGCATTCATGGTAGTCTGGTATAATGGATAACTTGAAGATATTATACGCAGCAGTATCAAGGTTCGAGTCCTGCTCATGGTAGTGAGGTGGTTAATGCGAGATCAAAACTGTAGTCAAGCCTGGATCTGAACATATTTTGGGAAAAAG